TCTGAGCTGCAACTAGTTAAGAACTGGTCTACGTCAAGCGTGATAGGAACACCCTGAAGTTTCGATACGCTTTCAGGCCTTTGAAAACAACGAGTTTGTCGAAACGTCAGGCGAATAAACATTCCACCATTAAAAAAAACCTGTGTGGCACAGAAGCATTGAATAATATTAAAAAAAAACAAGATGTAACAAAAAACGCTTGAAGCTCAACGTTTTAATGTGTGCTGATAAGCTATGGCATATGTGCCATTAAGAAGGCGAGGACAAGAAGAGTTTCGGTAGCGTGAAGGAGAAGAGCACGGTTCCCAGACAGCGTACGATCAAGTTCAGAAAATTTTACTCATGACTCGCCAACCTAGTGAGAATTTCGAATCGCGTATTGCGACGAAATGACAGCAATCAACAAAACAACAAGTCATTTGAGATTTCGAAATTGTCTTCTTCACTTCGGATAATGGTGCATGTACTACTAATAGTGATCACGAATTTTCTCTTCATTTCATAGTAGTGGACCGGCTGCACCGCAACTACCACACATATGTTTCAAGAGTCGATCTCCCAAATTATGTTTGTAGTAACCCGGAATGTTGAGGGATGACTTACTATTTCAGGCGTACTTCCTTGGGACAAACGGAATACCAAAGCTGTTAAATATTTTGAAGAAATGTCTCTATGAGAATTGTCTATGGAGAACAACTCGTCTATTGACCATGTTTTCAAATTTTGTAAGTTTGGCGTTTTTGCACGACTTTAGTAAATTGGAACGCAGATCCAAATAAGTCGGCAATGGTGGTGTGAGTATGGAATTCCGATTAGTTTCCTTTTTTGTTTGATTCACGCAAATCCCTTTTTCGGTTGTAGGATTTTCAAGATGACGAAAGCTTCTGCGGGGAGCGTGGTCCTGCTCCGTAGGAAAGCCGTCACAAATGAGGTTCAAATCAAAAGCAAGGTCACGCGTTTTGAATGAATTTGCAATTTTGGATTTTTGGGCTAAAACTCCCTAATTGGTTCTCGGGGGATTGACAAAGTTCGGAAACAAGCGACTTCTCCTGTCTCTGTTACGTTGCCAAAATTGCGGTCTTCACTTCCGAGACACATTTTCAACCAGCTTCTTTATTACTAAAGGGTTAAGGGTCTGCTAATTGATAATTCACGCTGATACGTATTAATTTCAGAATCCTCAGATGCTAGTGCAGTGTAACGCGCCAGCAGTGCTCGCTCCACAATTGGCTCACGACTCTGAACGTTTGGTATTAGTGTCTCTTGAATGCTTGAGAAATATAAGTGATGTACCGACGGACGGCAACCGATGCGATCTGTTACGCGCGCTGTTGCGGCTCTTCGGTCACAGGAATAGGAAAGTGACACGTTACACACTCGACATTCTCGCCAATCTATGCGCAAACAACAAGTTGAACAAGGTGAGTACTGAAGGCACTGTGAATTCAACTGTCTGCTGGATATCGCATCGGAAGATTGCGTTCACGATTTGAAGTGGCAGAAACTCGCAAAGATCTAGTTTGGTTCCCATCACGTCAATCACCATCACCTTTCATATAGAACATCGTTTCGATTTTTCCTGCTTCTCACAACTAACGTAATCAGTAGTGAATTGCCATCCGAGCCTGAACTACTACGCTTTTCCAAACTTCCTTTTCGAGAGCCTAGAGTGATCAGTCAGCTGTCTTTGTACAAGGTTCCCCTCGTTTCCGAATTCTTCCAGGTAATGTGAGGAATCTAGAAACTTCCATGGCGATGTTTCTGTCCTGTTGTTTTCTGCCCGTTTCCCTCAAATTCACGTAACTAGTACAGGTTTTAGGAGTTCTTAATATCCCACGGAATTGTTGGATATCTCTTACGGTTGCTGAATGATGAACGGAGTGGAGGCACTTACAACCAAACAATAATGAGCGAAGAAATTCATGTATCTCCTTCTTCCACTATTATTGATAATTGCCAGAGAAATGCTGTTTATTGTAAGCTTCAGGAATGTATACTGTCCATTCTCTGTACCTTATGTGTGGGAAACAGTATGATCGAGGATGTTCGCATCGAGGTTTTTCGCCAGCCTCAGCTGTTTCTCGAGAAACTCGTACACATGAGACCAATGTTGCTGAAACAAACTTTACAA